CGGGGCGGGGGAGCCCGGAGCCGCGGGACCGGGGAGCCCTGAGCCGCGGTGAGCGAGGGCCTGGGCCGGGCCGTGGGAATCCGGGCACGGGGAGCCTGGGCTGTGCCGGTCGCGGAGCGGGGGAGGCCAGAGCCCGGCTGGGCCTGGTGGCGTTCGGCTCCGGGGACGCTGAGCGGGGCCCGGCCCAACCCGTCCCGGCCTAAGGCCTTCGGGCACGGGGGAGCTGGGCCGGGCCCGGCAGAGCCTGAGGTGCCCAGGCACGGAGGTCTGGTCTGTCGGCCCCCAAGTTGTCCCTGTAAGACTGGAGCTATCCGGGCACGGTCTGGACCCGTGGGGCCTCGGGTGTCCCGGCCCTGAGACAGGGACCCGGGCGCGGGGCGATCGGTCTCTCTGGTCCAGTTCCATCAGGTCCTTGTTCAGGGCACCCCGTGGTGGAGTTGTGCTTAGACTGAGCACCCTTAGGCTGAGCTTAAGGCCAGCGTCTCCTAGAGGGATATAGAGCAGGACTTGTGGCAGTCAGGCCTAAGAGAGGCTTTAATATCTGTTGTGCTGATACCTTGTGCTTTCTCCCTTGCCTGCAGGAGGCCCGACGCATGTGCTGAGCTCTCACTATGAATGCTATTGTTGCCCTCTGCCATTTTTGTGAGCTCCACGGTCCTCGCACCCTCTTTTGTACTGAGGTTTTACATTCACCGCTTCCCCAAGGCGCAAGCAGCGGGGACATCTCTGGGCAGAATGAGCAAGCAGAGGAGGAAGAAGGTGGTATTCAGATGAGCAGTCGGATCCGCTCGCACAGCCCCGCAGAAGGTGCCAGCGCTGACTCCAGCAGCCCAGGGCCAAAAAAGTCAGACATGTGCGAGGCAAGTGTGAAGATCTGTGTGCGGACATCAGCGGCCCTTGACTTAACCTAAGAGCTCTTAGATTCTCTAATGCAAATTGTACTATTTAAGAGAGACCAAAAAAAAGTGATCTGCAGTAATTTTGTACATGACCACCAGTACCAGAAGATCTCCAAG